CCCTGATGCGCCTGCTCGTTGTGCAGCAGCAGCAGCAGCGGCCACTGCAGTGCCACACAGGTTACACAACCTACAGCAACAGCAGCAGCAGCAGCAGCAGCAACCTATGGCTTGTCCTAGTGCTGGCCCACCCGGGGGCCTCACGGTGGGCTTGTCTTTAGCGGCCTAGAATTCGCTTTTATCTTGAAGACCCCTGCTGCTGCTGCTGCTGTTGCTGCTTTGCTGCTGCTGCAGTACTGTTGCTGCTGCTGCTGGTACTACTGCTGCCGACAGAGCTGCGCATGCGGGACTTAGCAGCAGCAGCTGCAACTCAGACAAAAGTAAACACAATAATAACAATTATAATTTGAAATATATAATTTTTAAAAATAATATCATTTAGCTTAGCGGCAGATCCATGCAAATGAAAGAGAGCAACACTGCGATGTGAAAGACAAGGCGGTCCCAGCCCGAGGTGGGCTGCGTGTTCTCCTGCTGCTGCTGCTGCTGCTGCTTCTGCTGCTGCTGCTGCCGCGTCTTTTGCTGCTGCAGCCACTAAGCACTGTGCGGTAGCGGGTGCTGCTGCCCGACTCGTCGCCACACTCCACACCATGGCGTTAGTGCATGCGCTCAGCAGCAGCAGCAGCAAAAGCAGCAGCAGCAGCAGCAGCAGCAGCAGCGGCAGCAACAACATGGAAGTGCCAGAGCTGCAGCCGGGCATGCAGCGGCTGCTGCTGCGCTACTTGGCTATGAGTGATGAGCCTGCTGCTGCTTATGCCTACCTCCTTCAGCCGCCGCAGCCGCAGCAGGAACAGCACCTGCAGCAACGGCTGCAGCAGCAGCAGCACCAGCCACTGCAGCAGCATCAGCAGCAGCAGACACTGCAGCAGCAGCAGCAGACACTGCAGAAGCAGCAGCAGCAGAATCTGCGTCTGCGCGCCCAGAAAGGGCAGTTGGAAGTATACACCCAGCAATGCCAGCTGCAGCAGGAGCAGCAGCAGCAACCACAGCAGCAGCAGCAAACGATGCAGCATCCACTGCAGCAGCAGCAACCACTGCAGCAGGTGTACACTACGAACCCTATATCCCTGCTGCAGTCAGACACAGCAGCACAAATGTCTCGGGAAGCTTTGTCAGGGCAAAGACTGTTTCAGCAGCAGCCACTGCAGCAGCAGCCACTGCAGAAGCAGCAGCCACTGCAGCAGCAGCCACTGCAGCAGCAGCCACTGCAGCAGCAGCAGCCACTGCAGGAGATGCCACTGCAGCAGTTGCGGCAGCAGCAGCTACTACAGGAGCAAATACAGCAGCCGCCACTGCAGCAGCCGCCACAGCAGCAGCAACTACAGCAGCAGCAGCAGCAGCAGCAGCAGCAGCACCTTGAGCCTCAGCTCATCCACTTCGCAGTGCGTCCCTCGCTGCACCCGCGGGCAGCTGCGGGGCAGCAGCAGATGCTGCCAGTGCTGCAGCAACCACTACAACAGCAACAGCCGCAGCAGCAGCAGCAAGACAGCACCCCTGGAGCAACTGAAGATGAGCTGCAGAGCCTACAGCAGCAGCTGCAGCAGCTGCAGCAGCTGCAGCAGCAGCAGCGCACGCTTCAAGTTTACCTCAGCCAGCAGCAGCCCGTGCCCTTCTCAGCCGTCCCCCAGAAGGAGCACCAGAAGCAGCAGCAGCAGCAGCAGCAACAGCAGCAGCATGCCATTTGCCAGCAGCAGCAAATCCAGCTGTCAAGGGCGCCTGTATCTCTGCTGCCACAGCAGCAGCCACTGGGCCAGCTGCTGCCGCCGCCGCAGCAGCAGCAATGGCAGCAGCAGCCTCTGCTGCAGCAGCAGCCGCAGCAGCCGCTGCTGCAGCATCGGCAGCAGCAGCAGCAACAACAACTAATGCAGCAGCAGCAGCAGCAGCAAGAGGCGCCGCATGCACTGCGGCAGCAGCGGATACTGCTGCTGCAGCTGGAGCAGCAGCGGCTGCAGGCGCACAACAGAGCAATAAGTGCCCAGGCAGCAGCGCTGCTGCAGCAAGGCAGCACGCAGCAGCAGCAGCAGCAACTGCCGCAGCAAGGGGCTCACCAGCAGCACGTCGTGGTGCTGCATCGGCCTGCGGCAGCGAAACAAGTAAGTGTGCTGCAGCCACACGGGGGCGCATGCAGCAGCACTTTGCTGCAGCAGCAACCTCAGCCGCAAAAGCAGCAGCAGCTGCTGCTGCTCCCCGGCAGCGAAAGCAACAGCAGCAGCTGCTACTTGAGCGGTCACATTTTTGCCCCTCCCTCAGCAGCAGCAGCAGCAGCTGCAGCAGCAGTACACGCACCACAGGCAGCAGCAATAGCAGCACCAGCAGCGGCAGCAGCAGCACCAGCAGCAGCAGCGGCAACAGCAGCAGCAGATGCTGAAGAGCTGCTGTTTTCTTCCCCTTCTTTATTTACTGAGGATTCGCCGAGGCAGCAGCAACTATTTGACAGCAGCTGATAAACGCTAAACCCTTGCCACGCCAGCAGACCCTGAAACCCTAATTTAGGTTTAGGATTTAGGGCATCTTAACGTAGCCATTAAATTTGGCTATCCCTTTGAAACTTTAGCCGGTGCGTGCCTGCAGCAGCAGCAGCAGCAGCTGCTGCTGCTGCTGCTGCTGCTACTGCGTCATTCTAACTAATTTTTTTGTCTCTATTTTGAGATTTAAAAAAACACTTTTCGCCTCTTTGAGGTGTACGTACACCGCAGCTGCAGCGTAGACATGCAGCAGCTAAAACGCATGCATGCAAATTTGAGTATTTTTGCGTCAAATGAACGCAAATTTTGACGCAAATAGTTTATTTTTTCTTTAAAATATTAATACTATTTATTTATTTGTTTATTTATTTGTCTATTTGCACTTTTTTGTGCTGGAAGTCGTTTTCTAGTTGAAAACGCAAGCAGGCGGCGGGGTGTACGTACACCTCACGCACTCAGCCGAACAGTCCCCGGTCGCGGCAGCAGCACTCACTGTTTCTGCTGCTGCTGCTGCTGTTGCTGCTGCTGCTGCTTCACTGGGGCAGCGCAGCGTCTAGCAGCTGCTGCAGCGCCGCCTTTGGGGGGCAAAATTTTGCTGCTGCTTTCGCCAAGTCCCGGGCCCACAGCGACAGCGGCAGCAGCAGCAAACTGAAGCCTTTGAGGCTTTCATAGAGACACAGGCAGTCTACGCACAGCCGGTCCCCCACAGTCCACCCGTCCTCTGCTGCTGCTGCTGCTGCTGCTGCTGCTGTTGCTGCTGAGGGCGCAGCAGCAGCAGCAGCTGCTGCTGCTGCTGGGGAGTCGGAGCAAGAAAGCGCAGCGGGAGTTTCGCCGCTCGGTAGGCGCTGAAGCTGCACGCTGCTAGCTGCAGCAGCTGCAGCAGATCCCTGCTGCTGCTGCTGCTGCTGCAGCTTGGCTGCAAAAATGTCGGCCATTGAGTGGAAGGCCAAAGCAAAGAGACGGCTGACGCTCTCCTGCGGCAGAACCCTCACCAAAACCTGGGACGCAGCAGCAGCAGCAGCAGCAGCAACAGCAGCAGCAATAGCGTCAGCAGCAATACTTTAAGTAGCAGCAACAGCGATAGCAGCAGCAGCAAAGGCAGCAGCAGCGTGTCACGTGCGTCGCCTGTACGCATCTGAACACAAAGCCAGCGGCAGCAACAGCAGCAGCAGCAGCAGCAGCAGCAGCAGCAAAACAGTGCTGTTACCTTGTGCATTGAAGATATGTCTTTGACCAGCTCCCGCAGAGCGTCATGCGGCAGTGGCAGATTGAGCGCCTGCTGCTCTTGCCTGCTGCTGCTGCTGCTGCCCCTGCTGCTGCTGCTGCTGCTTGCTGCTGCAGGCGGGTGGGGCTTTGACACCCACAGGGTGGCGTGGTATTCAAAGCGGTCAACTAGAATAGCCACAAGCCTTTCAAATACCTGCA